ATTCTTGCGGCAATCCTGGCGCAAGTCACTGCACATTTTAGGGATCGTTCTCTGCCTGGGAGGTAGCGAATATTTCCCTAGCAGCAGCTACTGTTGCCCTCCAGCTTCTGCCAGTTTGGCATGGTACAACAACCTAATTTTTTCACAAACCGCCCAAATCCGTCTGCGATTGACCAGTCCAGGAATATAATCAACTTTTCCTTCTGTGTACCGACTTTTCTTTTCAAGTTCTGCAATAATCATGGACAATCTGGCCTCTAGCGCCTGTGATTTGAACGGATCAATATCATGAACTTCCCAAAGCCAACCTATATCAGTTTCAAGTTTCTGTTTCCAGGATAGGTCTGGACAAACATGCATCGAAAATGACGCAGATTTAAGAGCCAGGACGGATGGAATTGGAAGGAGGTTGAATACCTCCTGCCGTAATTCATAGGGCAGCTTGTCGAATATGTCGTGACTGACTTGTACTGCTCGAGACGCAAGATGTTTCTTTTCCTCGCTGACTATAAGCTCTTGAATTATTCCCAGGTAGGGTATCAGCTGAGGTATCTTGACGGGGTGCGTCACCAGGACCTATTAGTTTATTTCCTTAGTAAGACCACAGTTCATTTGGGTAAAGATGTGAGTTACCTCTTCGCCTTTTCTGCATTGCCAATACTGTTCACAGGGCGGGTGGGGGTTGCCGTAATCCAACGCCAGCTGGTCCCGAAAGTCTTCTCTTCTGTCTTCGCAGAGAGCATGAAATACGTCTGTATTTATCTTCTCATATTTGAAACATCGGAGAAGGATATCCTTGTAGCAGACCTCATGAAAAGGAAAGACAATCTGATTTCCCTCATGGGTGGGGTCATAGTATCTGAAGAGAATTAATACCACTTTGGGATAGAGAAATTGAAACATACGCGCATAACCAGGGCATTTTGCCTCTTTCATCAATAGGAATATTAGGATCTAATTCAGGGTCAGCCAAGAGGGAAACTTAGATTTTGGAATTTAATCTAACCGTCTCCTGGAGCCACAACGATTGCTCCCTAAAAGTCCCCTGTTAGGGAATTGGACTAGTAATCACTCAAGGAGCGACTCACATGGTCATCATAAATCCCCAGGCCTGTGACGAAAGATCTGTACTTGAAAGGATAAGCAAGTGGGTTCATGAAACGAAGATGTTACTGACTTTCTCTCTTTTGGGTTGCCGGCACTGAGGCCAATGGCACGCAGTGTTTTTAGCCATTGAAGATCACTCTCGCCAATGACTTCTCCGCTGTATGTTAGATCGGTCTCGTCGTCGGAATCAATGGAGAGATGGCTTTTGAATGTTGAGCCACATATCGCGCAATAGGAGTCCCAGCCGCCCATGATCGCGATGGACTTAGGATAGGAATTTAATAAGATTCGATGTTTGATTTTAGACAGAATTTCCAAGGTTGGAAAAATTGGCGTGGTGCGGGAAGAGGCAGCAGTCCTCCAAAACCTGATTTGGCTTAGTGTGTTCACTCCATTTGGCTGGAATAAATATTCCCCGTAAAGTTCTTATCACATATATGGCTGAGCCAGCACACCATCGCAGAAGAGGTAGATCTCAATGTTAGTAGGCTGTCTTTTTTAGGTGCTTTTACGGGAGGGTGAAGCGGGCAGGGGGGATCGTGCCAGATCGTCAGAACTAATGTAATTCGAAGGTATAAATCTGGTATCTAACGGAGTACCGATCTCTGGCATATGACTTGCATAAAAGTATATGACATGTAGACCGTGCCAGCCAATTCTTCTTATCCTAGTAGCCATAGTACTAATGAAGGGAAGAAAATCCGTAAATATCAGAGGTATCTAAGGTAATACCTAAGAAGAGCATGTAAAAAACGACTAAAAAGGACTACCAAAAGACTATTCAAAATAGACTACATACTCAAAAACACATAACACGGCTGTATAAGCAGCTAACTATTCTTATATACTAAGTAGGTATAAGCTGGGTGGGAAGGCAAAGGCTTAAGGTGATGAAGGCTGTAGCGTGATGGTCCCTAAAAACCCTGGTACATATCTCGTCAAACGGAGTTTGAAAACGACAATGTGGAGAAAAATATATGCAGGCTAGGAGGGCTCGAACGCTAGAATACCTAGGAAAAATAAACGAGTTTAAGGTGCATTGGATAGCAGATAATACATGCGCAAGAAGCTGCTTTGCTGAGGGATGCTCTCCAATTTGTTTGAGCTGGATCTAGTGTGATCCAATCACTTCAATACTATGCGCAACGAATATGAAGGACCATTCTGGGAATGTAAGCCATGTTCCAGATTTGAGAGCTTCATTGTCCAGTGAAGCCAAGGACATCCCCAGAAATATTACCGTGCAGAGCTGACTGCACATCGTGGAGATGCAGGTATTTATCATGCACTCGAGGTAGCGACCTATCGTCTTTCCATATCTGCATATGTAGTCATTATGCATACATATGTACGTATAGGCGCGTAGGAACTAATTTGACCCCTCTTCTAGTGCTAGCTACGCCTACAACATTCGTCTCTTCCCTTCTTGTCTTTGGTTTTCTCTTCTCTTTTTATCCTATCTCCTTTACCGCCATATTCCTACCGATATTCAATCGTATTACACAAAATCTCATCATGGGATCTAACGGTCCCAACGGCGAGCAGGTCAATGCGACTCGCGCTCCCACAACCGAGGCAGCTCTTCTGGCCGAACAGAACCATTCAGCCAAAAACTACCAATCCATTCCTATCGTATTTGCGCGTGCCCAGGGAGCCTCCGTCTGGGACCCAGAAGGGAATCATTATCTCGACTTCCATTCTGCCTCCACTGCCCTGAACCATGGCCATTGCCACCCAAAACTCGTCGCTGCGCTCGTGGAGCAGGCGTCGCGGCTGACTCTCACTTCCCGCGCCTTTCACAACGACGTCTATCCCAAATTCGCAGAGATGACGACCAAGCTGTTTGGCTACGACAGGGTCCTGCCTTCCAGTACAGGCGCAGAGGCTTCCGAAACTGCCATCAAGGTCGCCCGAAAATGGGCTTACAAGGTGAAGGGTGTTCCTCAGGACCAAGCCATTATTCTAGGCGCAGCGGGAAACCACCATGGGCGAACCGTAAGTACTAAATGGAAACGATGCAGTTGATTCAGAATTTAATAAATTTCTATCTAGCTGGCATCGATTTCCTTGGCTTCGGATAATATGTCGCGCGAAAATTACGGTCCCCTGGTCCCCAATGTCAGCTGTTCGGTCCCGGGAACTGACAGGCTAATTGCATTCAATGACAAGGTCGCATTACGGGAGGCCTTTGAGGCAGCGGGCTTTAACTTAGCTGCCTTTGTAATTGAGCCAATTCAGGGGGACGCGGGTGTTATCGTCGCTGATGATGATTATCTCCAAGAAGCAAGAGCGCTCTGTGGCAAGCATAACGTCCTGTTGATTTGCGACGAAATCCAGACTGGTATTGCTCGAACTGGCAAGCTTCTCGGGCACTATTGGAGTGGCATCAAGCCCGACATGGTACTTCTGGGGAAGACCATGACTGGTGGAATGTACCCCGTCTCCTGTGTTCTGGGCAACAATGATGTGATGCTCACTGTTGAGCCCGGAACCCACGGATCGACATATGGTGGTAACCCGCTTGGTGCGGCAGTGGCGATGCGTGCTCTTCAGGTCGTCGAGGAGGAGAACTTGGTCGAACAGGCTGACCGTCTCGGCAGCCTGCTTCGTGCTGGTCTCAAAGCTATTAAGGCGCAGACTCCTGTTGTTGAAACAGTTCGAGGCAGGGGGCTACTCAATGCGTTTGTCATTGACCAGACTAAGACCAACGGACACACTGGGATAGAATTGTGCGAGCTGATGAAAGCGAAGGGACTTTTAGTAATGAAAATACCTGTTTCCTTGCGGATTGAAACATATTGCTGACTGTGACTTCTAGCTCAAATCCAGCCGAACAGGAGTCATTCGCATTGCTCCTCCACTCATCGTCACCGAGGGCGAGCTAGATAAAGCTCTCGGAATCATCAGGGAGTCCATCAACGAACTAGTCAGTAGCCCTGTGAAGGTCACATAGACCGGCGGTACTGATGCACTTGGCATTACAAGATGAATGTGCAGTGGCCGGAATGGTGTCAGAATTCGTTCAACTTCAAAGTGGTCGATGGCCAACAATCCCCTACAGTTCTCATCCATACAAATACCATAGACACCAGTGTGCATGTATATTGGACAGAAATATAAAAATGCCATTCAAAGCTTTTTTGGCCAGCCTCTTTTGCTCCATGGGTCCCATGCTCGGCTCTCCTTCATGGCAACATCAAACATTGATCTGGATTAAGAAGGACCATGGATGATCAAACTGGAGGGTAGTCAGAAATTTTCAACTTGATATTGGCAATATCGATTTACAATATTCGTCCTCTGGTGAGCCAGTTTTGCTTCCGTTGTTGCGGTTCCCTCTACCTCATTCCCGACAATTCCCACAGCTTGGTGGTTTCCATTTTCATGAATCCACTGATGTCCATCACTTCCGTCGCTTCTCCACAAATCTTGTCCTGACTATCTTGCGGGAAGAACATCTGGACGGCCTTTACCATAGCTGTCTTGTCTGACCATGTCCGTGGAACAATGTCCTGCTCACCTAAAACCCTTAGCACGGTAGGCAATTGGTAAGCTGGCAGGTCTTTAGCCAGATCTCTTCGAAGGGATTGCAAGTCGATTTCATCAACGCCTTCCCGAAACCGCACAAGTGCAGCTGTTCGAGTATCGCATTGCGGGTCCTCTACTGGCAAGATATATCCCTCCGAGACATAGGAGAGCGCTGTCAGCTTCGCCTCGACTTTCGTTCGAGGAACTTTGTATGTATAAAATTTGAACACTGCGTTCGAGAAGCTGGTTAGATGACGCACTTGAAATCCGGAAATTGTGAAAGTAATTGTGATCATGTTGATACTGACAATCCATATTTGATCTTCCTTTAAATATATAACGTCCGTTGTCGAGGACCGCTAGATCTCCACTTCTGAAAAACCCCTCTTCGTCCAAACGCTTTTCCGTCGCATCAGGAGAGTTGAGGTACCTAGGATAACAGAGTCTTCGTTAGCAATTTGTGCTCGTGGAGTAGCAACAAATGAAAGAGGTACCCGAGAAACATCGACGGGGTCTTGACAAGAAGCTCCCCTTGATCTCCCCCAGACAGCTTCATCGTCACACTCGGCAACGGGGTACCTAAATCAGCCTGAATCGCAGTCTCGTCAGCAATAAGACAAGTCTCATTCTGCGGAAAATTACCTCTTCCATTCCTTGCGTGCCATCCCAGACAGCTATCTCCTGCGTTTCGGTTGACCCGTATAGTACCTTGAGAGGCCGTCCGCGCATCTCGCACCAGAATTCCTTGATCCGACTTGATGGCATGGCCCCTGTTGCACATGCTTCGCGAATGTATCGCACCCCCTCAATGTACTCCTGAACTTCCTGCTCCGGCAACTTCGAAATATGAGTCTCGTAGTGCAACATCATACCATACCAGAAGGTAGGCGATAAGAGGATCTTGGTGCCCGTCCTTTTGCGGAACTTTTCCCATATGAGATTATAATTGCGCCCAAAATTCTGAATCTCGATGCGCACTCCAGCGAGAAGCATTTGAAAGAGCTTCGTGAAATAGACGGACCAGAACGCTCCCCTGGGTATGATGCAAATCTCGTCATTTGTCTCTGGCTCTTCTTCCATCCGAGCGTACTTGTTGATTGTCCGACGGGCATGTAGGACCCCCTTTGGTGGGCCAGTCGTACCTGAAGTGAAGAACAAGATACTGGGCGTCTCTTCTGAGACTGCAAGTGCTGTCTCGAGATTATAAAACGTAGCAGGAGGCAGATCATTCGAGTCGTGGACAATTTTTTCAATGGTAATCGATGGAAACTTGACTTCTTGTTGGATTTGCGTTGCGAGTTCGGTTAGCTCCGAGCTGACAACCATACACTGGGCATCGCATTGCTGAAGAATATATGCGACTTCGGCTGGTAGTGCGCCGGTTGCTATTAAATTCAAAGGATGTGGTTAGTTCTAATCTTGGCCGAAATATATACCATTGTTGTGGCAGACACTCACGCATTGGAACGACCACTCCACCAATTGCCAAAATAGCGAGAACTCCAATGATAAACTCATAGCCATTTGGGGCTAGAAGTGCAACGTAAAATTTGCCGGGTCTCCGATGTTTCGATCCGTAAAGAAGACCGTGCAGCGTTTGCTGAAGCTTGACGGTCCCGTGGAGGATTTGACGATAGCCAAACTGAGTCCCTGTGCTATAGTCATCGACGATGACTTTGCTGTCTCTTTGATTTGCAATCCTCAAGAGCCTCGAGAAGAGGACGTCGTTGGGTAAGGTCGGGATGTGGTGGATCGTCATGGTGTTGGGAGATGGTATGTGATGGAAATGAGGTAGATAATTTAGGGGGGTGGATTTGCCAGAAGGCATGGTTTTTGAACTAGAAGTGATGAACTATAACCTCGGCCTGGAACTGCATGTACGACCTCCCCCGCCACTCTCATGATTGATGTATTGTAGATTCTGGTCTTACGTGTCAAGCGTTAATGGCAGACAGACTGTCACCCCCTTGGTTGCATGTTCCATACTTTGACCTTCATGGACTTTCAATAATGTCGGCTCACAACGCATAATCTACTATGACCCTTCTATATGCAATGCTACAGGCCTTTCAATAAAAGCCTACATCCGAAGGTCAATGAATCTCAAATGAAATCCCGACTTTGAATGGAGAAGGGCTAATAGCACTATATTCATTCCCCTCTACAGACTATACCACCAAAGCTTCGTCTCAACATAGTTTATCACATCTTGAGCTAATAAAAACTGATCAGTTATCCTCAAAGGAAAACATTGAAGAATTGGTTCATACTGGTAGCGAATTGATCCTTATCTTCTTCATCGACGTATATGTCAAATTTCTGAGCAAGAATTAGTGTGGCCGTCTCGTCAGGAGGCTTAGGAGTGAGAAACCTCTCGAAGCGCGGTTACCATCTGGGACTTCCTCAGATCGTCCACAGTGAAGTCGGTCTTTAGGTTGGCGTTCGTGGTCACCTGAGAAGTGTCACTTTCAGCCTTGCTCTAAATCGCGGGTATGGAAAACCTCCGTACCTCATCGATGGGCACATCGAATTGTTGGGCAATAAGAGCTTTGATATTGTTTTCAAGGTTGACCATTATGTCAATTTGTGGTGATAAGATAGATTCTGAGAGATAGAACTGACGGCAGAGGAGTACAGAGCTGCTTATATTTCCGACAAGAGCCCAGTCACCGCTAACTAATGTGCCAATGGCAGTATTTGGACTGTAGAACTGGATACACTCAATGTCTTGGGATGCATCATATCTTCAATTGGTTTCATTTATTTCAATTACTGGGCCATGTATGCTGATCTAGACCAAGCTTGATGTTTTGCGATCACTTGCTTGCTATACACCGGGCTGATCGATCAGAAATAAACCGTCAAAGTGCAGATTCTGCAGGTATATGTGCACTTAGCAGCCCGGAACTCACATCAACAATGTGATTTGTTTCATTAGAAACTGGCTCACCGTTTCTATTCAGCAAGCCGGGGTGGTGTTTGGCTTCATGAGCATAAGCCACGTCGCTGTACGTTTGCAAGGAATCGACGGCCGACGTGGAGATAGCATCAATATCCCCATGGATGATAAATGCATTCCAGCCCATGTTGATTCTTAGCCGAACTCCGGCGGGGGAGATTCCGAATCCCATGATTGGTAGATTGTTGGCCTTTGCTGCATCGCGGATCTTCTCAAGGGCAGCAAGATAGACAGGCTCATCACCATCGAGAGATCCATGAGCCAGTTTCATGCACATGCGCAGGTCGCCCGTACCAATAAACAACCCGTCCACTGTGAATACACCATATTAGTCTGCTGACCATGTACAAACAGCGAATAAACCTTGCGCTTCGTCTTCTCATCCTGATAGAGGATGGAGACTGGGGTAGGGAGGGAATATGGGCACGGACCACCTGGAACCCTGCAGATCTCTTCGACATTCTCCAGCCCCTCAAGGTCTTCGATCTGACAGATTACAGCTGCATGGCTGTCCCACACATCGTACGTAGTCTGGCCTTTGGGTGTCCGGTTTTGCTGCTCGCCAATCAAAGCTGCAGGCGGGAAGCTGCGGTCTCCCAATGGCGGAAAGCGGCACAAGCGGACGAGCTCCTCAGCTTGTTTGGCATTCTGGACGTGGGGCATGACGACGCCTCCTGCTCCAGCCCCCAGGACGTAGTTGAACAGTTCCGGTGAGCACCGTGGGATCCGCACAAAAGGGACCATAGAACCCATTGACTGGTATTGAATTGTTCGAATGAGGCTTACAAGCAGGGTTGCATTGAGAGGTGCATGCTCCTTTTACCCATCAGTAAATTGTCACCGAGTAGATGGTGCTCTCAGTTAATAGGGTACGTACCGCATCCAAGAAACAGAAATGGTATGGTGTTGCAGCAATGATTCGCGCAGCTTCTGGATGAGGGATGCGGCAGCCGGTGCCCCAGAGAAGCTCCCCAGATGTTAGCATTGCTTTGAATTTGGTAGGCTGAGCTAGACTCAAGGCATTGTAATCCTTGGTGTTCAGCATTTTGGTTTCTTTGTGCATTGTGCTTTCGTTGAAGGGTGTTAATCGAGGCGGGATTTGAAGTCAATGAGTTGCCTTGTACGGAGTACTTGATGTCTCATTTATGTGCAGACATGCAACACGTCGCAAATTAAATGACAATAGGTATTTGTAGCACTCTTCCGATAGAGAATATCCGTGTACTATGCACACTAATCCACACCGCCAGTATCACTATGCTTGTCGATATGCAACTACGAAACAGGATAATGCGTAATTGGAGAGTCTTGATACGAGGCCGTTCATTGTCTTACGCGCTAACGAAGTAGTTGGAAAGTGGGTTGCTGAAAACGCTACGGAGTCGAAAGCTGGATATTGACGGATTACCTCGCCTGAAACCCCACATCAATCCTGTCATATTCTAGGGAAAGTAGATTGGCTTCATTGAATGACCTTGAGTAGACGCTTTGCTTAAATACCTCCGTCCAACTTCAGCTTAGCTTAAGTATACACTACTAAATACTTCAAGGTTGAAAACTCCAAAGCTCTGAAAATGGGATCTTTCGAAGCCAGCCAGCAAGCAGACCTCAAGTCAATCTCCCTATTCGGGCTTCTTGAAGGCAACTTGGAGGCTGCGAACGATCTTGTATCTGCTTGCAAAGAAAAAGGATTTTTTTACCTCGATTTCCGCGATGCCTCAACTTGCAAGATGTTGACACAGGTCGATGATCTCATTACAGTTGGTAGAGAAGTGTTCAAGCTTTCTCTGGAAGAGAAAGAGCAGTACAGCACTGAGAAACATCTACCCTCGAGACTTCAAGGGTGCGTGTTGCTTTGTTGAGCCACAAGCGCAGTCATCTCTGAACATGTCACTAAACCTTCATATATCAGATATAAACGAGCCGGGTGTTCTGTGGGACCATTCAAAGAGAAGAAAGATGGCTATGAGAGTTTTTCAGTATGTCCCAAAGAATGGCCGGCTTCAAGCATAATAGCCTGAGAGGTGACTTAACTGAACTCCCTTTAGATTCACAACAACGGCCTCTGGGGAGATGACACCCTGGAGCTTCCTCTAGCCTTGGAAGAGAACCTACCTCTCATCAAGACCTGGATGAGCGAGGTTCACGGATATACCGAGTGTATTCTCTCCATTCTGTCCAAAGCTCTCAACCTTCCATACAATTTGAAAGACTGCCATCGCAAAGACGTTCCATCTTCCGCCAATATGGCCATGCTCAACTACTTACCATGGGGCAGTACCGACGAGAAAGTTGGAAACATGGCACATACGGACATGGGAACCTTGACCGTTGTCTTCACCAAGAATGACGGCTTGCAGGTCTTTGAACCTGAGACTGAGCAATGGTACTATATCAAGCCCCGATCTGGACATGCCGTTGTGAACGTCGGCGACTCGCTGCGATTCCTCTCCAATGGTGCATTGGCATCCAACCTTCACCGTGTCGTGCCTCCGGCGAACCCGGAGGGACTGGACAAGTTTTCCTGCATCTACTTCCTACGCCCCGAATTCGACGCCAAATTCACCTCCCGTGATGGGAAGGTGATGAATAGTGTTGAGTGGCATAATCAGAAATATGCGCTCTTCCGAGAGGCGAGCTTGGATGCTAAGAAGCACGGCGCTATGCTGACTGGTCGAAATGGATATCTTGGTGCCACGACTGAGACTGTCTAGTCTTGATGCTAAAGTGAAAGGAGACACTGGTTTTATCATCTCTGGCATGCTCAGAAATGCTTTATGCGGATAGTTAACTTATCTCTGTCTGGTTCAGGTTATTTCGATTCAATATATCGCATTTCGGGTAAAGGGAATGTCACTGAAGCTGATATGTAGATGTAGATAGAATACGGCTGCAGAGCCATTCTATACATTAGAGGTGATGTGATTTGGACAGGGCAGGGCTTTTCCATTGAACCCTGGATATTGTTTCCGTTTTTGAATCAAAATTTATCAATCTCACGGATGAGGCATGATGATGACTTTTAATTAATATACTACCGAAATAGGAGTGGAAGGGTCATCCACCCGCAAATGTATATTCGAGGCTTTGTGAACCACATCAACGAGGCCTATAGAAGAGAGCTCGAGTATTGATTCCCTTGGGGCCTCATTTGTAACTATAAACCATCATGGGCGAAAGCTGCACTCTGGCACCAATCATTGAATCCTGTAAAAGGAGCAGGTGATGGACTCGGAAACGTCTCTGTCTCACATCAGCCTAAGTTAGATAATTTCCTTGATGTATTTGGCGAGCCCGGAAGGCCGTACCAGCATTGAAAGAGTTGTATAAAAACGGCCAGCCGTTTCCTGAAGGGCTGCTTGTGCTTTCATGTCGAGGTTCACGGCTCGGTGAATCTTCTTGCGAGCAAGCTGGCACCAAAGACACGTCGGGGTGGCGGAAGGTGCGGAAATTTACTGTGTTCACATTAGAGAACGAAACACAGATGTAGACCATGGAGCAGTTCATGATACCAGCTGCTAGTGAAGCGGGCGGCGTTGGGTTTTGTCCAGCCTGCGACGAAAGGCTTGGTGTTACCGACGCAGAGGTCGATCGAGGTGACTTCCAAGGGGTCTGATTAATTTCATCTGCTGAGTATGTATGTAAGCATCGGCAATTAAATTAGGACAATTCCATAGATAAAAACATACCATTGCCCTCTTTCCTCTTTCCGTTTGTCATTGCTCTCAACATCGCGGAAATGTGGGCTGCCAATTCTGAAAGCTCGAACTGTTTGACAAGTCCCTCGATCCCCAGACCTTTCAACCTTTGAGCAGCTGCGTGCATCTGCTCTTTAGTACATCTCGAGGTATATCTGCAGGACTCCTATGAGTTGAAGACCGTTGATGAGGATCAACAGGAGGGCCATACGCTGAATGTGATATATCTGCAGGCAGCGCAATGAGATACCCAAGGTCCGTTGTTTCGCTAAACATCCCAGCCCACTGGTCATATCTGCAGCCCTGGTCAACCCAATTCAACGTTTTATTAGCAGTCTTCTGATCCGGAAAACGACCTGGAAAGTCGTGACAAAGTTTATTCGCAAGCTGAGCACGCATATCCCGGATCCAGTGTGTGCCTGTATGGAATCCAGCTTCCACGACGTGTTTGTAGATGTTGTGGCATTCGAACCTATGAAAGATCTTCGTGAGATCGCGAATGTCAGCATTTCCTTTCTTCGTGGCGATCGCGGCTTCCCATCCCTGGCCGGTTGGGAGGGTCGCTTTGGCTTCTTTGATCGCATGTAGGAACCTGCCGCGGTCTGTTTTACATTGCTCGAAAAGGTCTCTGGTACTTGGTGCGAACGCTATCTCGGTACATGCGGCCAAGCTTGTTTTGTTAAAGGCATTGCCATCGGCCCTGGAGGGGCCAGGTGTCGTTTCAATTTGGCGCGAGACAGGTGGCTCGGCCCTGGCCAATACGGCAACGGAATTCGTTCCCGCTTGTTGGAGTAAGTGGGTATTTCCCCGAAAAGACGGACTGGACATAGGTTGGTCATTGAACTGCTCCGATGTGGGCGCACTTATGTGGAGTAGGTCGGGCCGGGCCGCTGGGACCGGCCCGTCGCCTCCATGCAATCCGGAGCAGTTATCACTCTCCCCAGACATAGAAGAATAGATGGGGGTGTGTTGTTCTGTAAACGACTGGCTCAGGCTTCCCCGGTTGTTGTGCCTCTGTGAAATCTGCGGGCGCTGACAGGCAAACGGTGGGGTTGGAGAGCCCTCGTATTCGTGATCATGATCTGTTTGGCAGTGGCCATCTCCGCACGGCCATTGAGAAAGCCCATGTTGATAAGAGACCGTTTCAACGACTGATGCCGTATCCACCACCCCCTTGCTGTGATTAAGGATGGCAGTATCGGAAGGATTCAATGTAAGAACCCCCCTACTGACGGGTCCTGATCCCCGGGTCTTTGCATTGATGAAAGAGTTAGCTCGCCAATAGGATATAGGAAAACGTTCACGGTATCGCCTACTCCGTACCTTCTTTACGAATAACAACGAAAATAGGCAGTGTAACGCTGAAACCTCCCCTGGTGAAATACGATCAAGGCATTTGGATACTTTATCAGCCGCGATCGTGGCCTCATTTGCCCCGAAAAAGCGAGCGAGCTGGGCCAACAATTGTTGTAGCTCTGATTTTGACACATGCCTCACACTCATCCCAGCAGAATGTTGGATTGGAAATCTGCAACGCACGGGGTGTAATTGGCATTTGTGAGTTCGCGGTCGTTTGGATCGAGGTTGCCTTGGCGATCGCCGAGATCTGGGTGGGCCCCTCCATAACATGTCGTGACAGCACTGCAACACAGCCAGCCACAAAGCCCTGCATTGCGAGCTAGATCAGCTAGCCATCATCGTCCGTGTATGCAAGTGCTTGTCACGCCCACTTATGTATGATTTTTTGAAGAATTCAGGGCCATGTGGGTCCCGTGAAGAGAATTGACACCTCAAAAATACCCCGCAAAGCTCTTTGGACCTTGATCAATCTGCTGGGAGCTCAGCCAGCCAGCCCTTTTTTGTAGAGTGATGGGCATCGTCGAAGTCTCCAATCAATTCGCCGTCGGCACCCGTGTTGTACAATGCTCATCTAGAATGTTCGAGAGCAGATTCAAGATGGCGCATACAGGATTCGGGACATGATGCCAATTGAAGTACTGAGTGAGAAAATACAGAGCCGCTAGCTTTAGTGGATTGTTGGCAGAGCGAACACGAGATTGACTGGAAACCCGGGGCTAGGCATGGGTTAGCATAAGGTAAGAGATAATATGGGATTTTACCATGGACTTTCGCAATATAAGTGACTGGTCTCAAATGTGATCTCTCATTGTGACGTTTGCCACCCAGCTGGAGGCTCATAGGGCTACATGGCAGGTGGGAGCGGCTTGTGTGGAACTTGCTGATTCCAAACTCCCACCCATCCGATAGAACAATCTCCTTCAACACACTTCCCTCTTTCTCACTTGACCCTTTGTTGCTGTCTCTTTCCCTGTCCTATACAGGCCCGCCTCCATCTTGCGATAATGACTATCAATAAAGCTCTCCATAATTTTGACGTGGAGGCGGTTCGAAACCAATTCCCAGGCATCGACAAAGGGGCTGTTTGTCTGAACAATGGATCTGGTGCGCTAGTTTACAAGGGAGCGATCGAGAGGTGAGCATCCGGCGATGGCTGGGTGTCTTGAAGGGGGTGTGATGTATCGTTGCAATGACAAGTCGCTAACCAAACACACAGTATAACTCGAACTATGTCTCATCCACACATGAACCTACGTGGTCTCGACTCAAAAAGCATGGTTGACGTAAAGGAACGGACTGTCCAATATGCGAAGCTTGCTTCATTCATGAATGCGGATCCCGACGAGATTGGTACGAGCTTCCCGGGACACATGTAGCTTTCACAGTTGTTGCTAATTGCGGTTGTCAATGAAGCTTTTGGCCCTTCGACAACAGGAATGCTCCGAACACTTACCAACTCCCTTCGACCAAATCTAAATACCGATTCGGAAATGATAGTCTCAGTTCTCTGTCATGAGGCCGGCGTGACTGCGTGGGTTGCATTGGCACAGAGCCTCGGGATCTCAATCAAATGGTGGGTGCCAGACGGAGGAATGGGAAACAACAAAGATCCCAAGCTCAGCATAGATACCCTCCAATCTCTCTTATCATCTAAGACGAGGCTAGTATGCTGCGGGCACGTGTCAAACATCACTGGAACAATCGAACCCATCAAGGAAATTGCGAAGCTTGTTCACACAATCCCTGAGGCGCTGATTTGCGTGGATGGAGTTGCCTGGGCTCCCCATTGCGCGATCGACGTGAAGGATTTGAACGTGGACTTCTATGTGTTTAGCTGGTATAAGGTGTTCGGGCCTCACATTGCACAAATATATGCTCGCCGCAGCGTCCAGAAGCGTTACTTGACGAGTCTCAACCACTACTTCTTTGACCCAGCTGCTCTACACGTCAGGCTAGGCCTTGGCAACAGCTGTATTGAGCTTGAGCATGCTGTGACTCCAATCATCACCCATCTCGTCGACAATGTGGGTTGGGATTCCGTTATTGCCCACGAGGAGGTCATCACAGCACACATCCTGGACTACCTCACAGCCAATCCAGATCTGTACATTGTATATGGATGTCAAACGGCAGATCCCAAGGCTCGCGTTTCTTTGATTAGCTTCACAGTTAATGGACTGGCATCCAACAACGTCGCGGCGATCATTCACGAGACCTCGAACTTCCGGCTCATCACGGGTGATTGCTGGTCCCCCCGGACCGTTCACGATGTCATTGGACTGCCGGACTACGGCATCATTCGGATAAGCTTGGTACATTACAATACTTTGGAGGAGATGCGGGCATTCACACACAAGTTGGATCAGGTGGTACGATCTATGAAAAACTAGTTCAATGTTCTGGCATCCCACCTTTACTGGCGCCCAACTGCAAAATCATATACATACGTATATATGCACGTTACAATGCAAAAATAATCCGGAGTGTAGTCTGAGGATCAGACAGACAAACATAGAAATTTAGAGAAGCCTGACGTGACATCTGAGCTTCTCACTTAATCAAACGAAAACAATGCCTAGGGTAGCATGAGATCCTTCGGCATCTGGCAATTCTGGGCTTTCGCGACAAGAAGCGAAAGGCCTCGCGATGGCGAACATTCCGTTGGAATCTTGGACGCGCACAGGCCATGTAGTAGTATGTATCAAGTCCTAATGTAGCGCATATGCATGCATAGTTATCAGTCACACCGCTCTTCTATTCAGTGGGCCTTGCGTTTATCTAAAGATTTCGCGTCGCTCCACAGGCGTCCTGCAGAATGCTGTGACATCCAAAACTCATATGTGCGGCCCTGGTATACTTCCGCCCCTGCTAAAAAGACTCTCAATTCTATGCCGACGCGGACCCTGATGGCCTATGAGAAGAGAGTAAAAGGAAGTGGAAGTATGTTGTAGTGATGGATATCTCGGTATGGTTTGTCCCTTGAGACAGCCTTGATGTCATTTCCATCTTGTCTGATCAAGTACTCCGTACACGAGGTATGTATCTCAGATAAATATTTGACTTTGGAACTGTTCAAGCATTGTGTCTTATTTGAATATAGCCTGTTACTATTCTTTCCTGGCGAGATCAGCGGCCATCAAGCTCACTTGAAAATGACTGTCGTCGAGACTCTCCCGCCGGTAACTAATGGGCACAACAAGGACATGGCCGAGGAATCCCTCATCAGGATGCCTTTGGAGCTCAAGGGATATTTGAATCAGTACAAATCTTTCAATGTCACTCCCATAGTGGGAACAGAGTTCCCTGATGCTCACGTGGCAGATTGGATGAAGGCTCCAAACAGCGACGAGCTTCTCCGCGACTTAGCTGTTACCAGTAGGAACAAATCCACTTGAATTTTGTTTCTGGCGCTAATGGACTCCATCAGTCTCTCGTCGAGGTGTCGTCTTCTTCCGCTCCCAAACCGACCTCACCGATGAGCTTCAAAAGGAGCTCGCCCACCGCTTGGGTGTTCTCACAGGCAAACCAGACGACTCAAAACTGCACATTCACCCTTTGACCAACTACAACCTTGACAAAGACCCAGAACTGAATGTCATCACAACAGACAAAGCCGTCAATCCCGCCGAGGACCTTTGGAAAAATAGGCCCGCCGATATCAGAAACAGTTGGCACACGGATACCAGTTACGAGCCGAATCCCGCCGACTACTCAATTTTGAAGCTCGTCAAGCTACCTGAGACTGGAGGAGGTACGCAATTTTATCTTCCCCACTACCCAATCCTCAAAAGATCTTATGCTGATAGTGACAGACACAATGTGGGCCTCCTCTTGTGAAATCTACGACAAGATCTCCCCCTCCTACCGCAAGTTCCTCGAAGGCCTGACTGCCACCTTTGCCCAGGCGAGACTTCCAGTCACAGCTGCTGAAAAGGGGTTTCAACTTTACTCAGAGCCCCGTGGGTCTCCCAACAATGTTGGGACATCTCTGAGAACCGTTCATCCGGTTGTTCGCACGAACCCCGTCACCGGCTGGAAGAGTCTTTTCGCCGTTGGCAACCATGTCGAGAAGATCAACGATGTGACGGCGGATGAAAGCAGGCGACTACATGACTGGTTCCTGCAGATGATTGTAGAAGAGCATGATACTCAATTGAGACATCGGTGGGAGAATCCCTACGATATTGGTCAGTTCTTCACTTGGCACGATGTTGATGGGTATGGACTAATGAGTATACAGCGATTTGGGATAACCGCACGGTTTACCACACTGCGATTTTTGATTTTGCTGGGTTAGGCGCTCGCACCGGTCATCGTGCGGTTGGAATCGGTGAGCTCCCGTATTTCGACCCGAACAGCAAGACGCGTCGTGAGGCCCTTGCTGAAGGGTCGACTTAGTTTAGAAATCGTTTTTTATCTCTCTGTGATCGATGAAGCTTGTATCTGAAACCCCGCCTACACTAAATCCGAGAAATTTACCCTAACTCATGAAAAGATATTCTACGGTAATAAAATAAATATTACTGCCCAGGCTCAAGACGGCACTGGTCGAATTCCGCCCAGAATACTCGGAACGAATCATCTGGTTAATGTTGGCGCTTGAGCTCACTTCCAGACTCCTTCTATGTACATGTCTTGGGCTGGAGGGCTATTTGTGGCACCGAAAGACATTCCGAGGGCTGTTTGAACAGGTTGACTGAAGTACGACAGACACTTGACGATCAACATATTCTGACCCCAAATTATTCCAATCTGCCCAATCTCACAACACAGTCTAGTCCCGATCTTCGGGATGAAATACCAAAATTCTGACCTCAATGCTCTCTCTCGCAGGTGCATCCTCCATCTCAGGATCAACAAAAGAACTATGCGGCACTCGCTTCGCGCGCCCATCATTCTTCGAATCAAAAAGCTTAATAAAGGTGACCATGCTCGGCGGCTGCTTGTAGCGATAGTACCACTTGATATTCGGATCCGGTTTGACAGACCACGAACCACCCTCCCGCCCATCTTCCGAAGCAGGGTAGATAAACTTCAGCTCTTCAAGGCTGCTGTCGGGGGCTGACTTTGAGTCCGAAACGGCGAGCGGATCTTTGAAGATAGTACGGATTGGACGCCACACACTGATTATCTGGCATCGGCCTTTGAGGAGTTCGGGGGCTTCGTCCGGGAAGTGGTAGCGGACTCGGGCTTCAGCGCCAAAATAGGAGGCGTCAATGTGGACAGTATGGATGGGCCCGCGGGGTTGGTTACCGGAGACCCAGTCTTTGGGGGCTCGGCGGATAATGTGGTCGAAGATGAAGAGGCGGGAGGCGCCCGTGCTGCCATTATTAGCTTTTGATTTGGTTCAGGCTGGGTAGTTTGGGTCTACTCACACTTCTTTCACGAGCTGCTCTACCTCGGGATAGTAATGCTCTTTGATCCCATCGTCATCGAGGAATTCCTTCTGCTTGCTCTCATGGTAATGAAACTGGAAACCGTGGCTGTCGAGGGTGTAGTCGAGTTCATGGCCGCTGACATCGTGGATAGTAACAGGGATTGTGACCATCTGCCTTTCGTAGGTTTCTGGCTTCCCAATATAAATGGGGGGGTGGGGGGTACCATCTTCCCTCGGTTTATTGAAAGTCAGTGTACTCTGAACATGTCGAGGCTTCTCCGAGACGGGTGCATCGGGCGTTCCTGTGATCAGAGGATCATGGGAGACAGGATTAACAACAGCAATGGCCATTTTCTGAAATCGACTCAGTTCAGCTGGAGGCAAGGTAGGTGCAATTGGGGCGGTTGAAGGTTTAAGACAATATGATGAGGGTTGTAGATTGGGATTGTCCTGCTGTGTGACTGCATGTACCTCCTTAGCTACTCCGTGAATCTCCACTTGTCAATGGATGGCGGGGAATTTTCATATGGGGTATAGATCGTAAATGCAACCGAGAGATTTCTCCTTGCATACGCATGGCGCTGCGTTCGATTCTGAATATGCAATAAGCTCCGAGGTTGGAACATTGCGGCCTGCATCAGAATCTGAATGGCGACAATGGCTGGTGCCGACTGGGTCAAATCATTGTAAGTAAAAGTGTGACTGATCTTTCGTAATTTCTGATGTTGACTTCTGTTGGAGAGAAAGGGCTGAACGAAAAAGACGGATCTAGGCGCATTTACATAGAGTAGCAAGGATTCGATATACAAAGAAGTCGACTGTCAAAACAGCCTCATCTGGAGTTCCCAGTTGCATGTTGACGTTTGGGCCACATGTGCAGCTGATTGGAGCTGTCTACAGACGGCGGTACGAGCGCGGCCAGGTCTTTCGAGGTCGCGATATGACCAGTAATCATCTAGGGGTAAGAATTGGAGAGAGCAAATTCCAGATTGTTCTACTTCGCACAAGCTCTGACAATCATATCCGTCAATTATTACCCTCTTTCAGAGGTCAGCTCGACATCCGGATATCTTAAATACCTCAAGTATTGGAGTAGGAGGATTCCTAACACCAAGTCATGGGACCGGGGACATGAGCGGCCTCCACAAACACCCATACGAATGTCGCTCATATTCAAACACGTATGATAATTCTGAGGACGGTGGGTCTACAGCTGGATTAACCTAATGATTTAATTACGTTGTGAATGTAGATATCAGGCCTCTGGGGAATGTTTTCGGGGTCTGATAGGATTTGAGAATTGGGACCCTGAAAGAACGTCTCTGAATTCCATTGCGTGAAGCGACGATCTTCGCTCTGTCTACTTGCAAATAGATGTGGAGGTAGCAAATAAACTATCATACACAGTTGAGCCCATTAGTCCGACTATTTGTATCCTATACCACAGTATCCTCGTTGTCCTCTAAGGTCGATCTTAGTTTATAGTTTTTAATGCGCAAAGCACAGATAAAACCGGATATCGCAAAGGCAAGAGCGAGTTGGAAAGTGCCGTGCAGCGCATTCATAAAAGCATTCTGAGGGGATTCCTGATTGTCGGTGGAGTGGAGGTTGCGGAACTGCAGGTAGCTGAGCTGGGTTTGCTCAGGTTGACCGGCTGTCTGATCGGTGAGACGGGTACGGAATAGGATCCCGGCAACTGAGAGGCCAATAGTCGACCCAACCGATCGAAATGTAAGGAGCGTGGATGTCGATCTTGCTTGCAGCTCATGTGGGACTGCACTTAGCGAAGCAAGCAAGACGGTGGTCAGAAATCCTCCATATCCGAAGCCGTAAACAAACTGATATATCGGTGGCAGAACAGAGGATGTGGTCATAGAAAGCGTCACGAATCCAGCCGAGCCGAGGACGATGAGAAAGGGCTGAACAACTTTTGGTATGCTGTACTTCCCTGTGGCACTTGTTATGACACCAACTGTGGTGGACCCAATCGCGCCACCGATAGGCTCAAAGAGAAGAAGGAAGCCCGTTTGACTGGTAGAGTGACCTCGCAGCTGGAGATATAGAGGGACATAGTACATCAATGTGTACATCGTCATGGACATGAAGCCGGTGCAAAGATATGCTGCTAACAGCGTTGGTGTGCGAAGGAGTGGCAAAGGAATGATAGGCTCACTCACCCGGAGCTCAAACATGATGAACATGGCTAGAAACAGTACTCCTAGGGGGAGCAGCGCGACAGACTTGTGACCTTCCCCATTCAAAAAGAAAAGGAACAACGCTAGAGACGAGACCAGTGTGATAGAACCACCATAATCAATTCTCCTTAGCTGCTTACGCAAGCTGGTGTCCTCCTTAATCTCTTCTTGGGGGAGAAAGGCGCCCACACCAATAGCAGCACAGATCGAGATAGGAGCAATTGCGATGAACGCCCACCGCCAGCCTATCATATCATTGATCACACCCCCAGCGACCGCTCCGACCCCCATTCCGCCAGTGTATGCCATGATAGATACACTATGCCATATCCCCCGATATCGCGGGGGGATATTATCCGACGAGATAAAAGTGGCAATTGAGGTACAGCCGCCTCCTCCAACACCTGCAATCACTCGGCCCAAAATTGTCATATTGCGGGAGCCGGAGAACCCGCATGTCAGGTTCCCAAGGGTGAAGATCATCGTGGCGAAGATGAAGCTAGCTTTCCGACCAAAGATATCGCTGAGCTTGCCAGTCAATGGCTGTGTCGCGGCTAGGCCGATGAGGTATCCAGCACCAAGCCATGAGATAATAGCGAAGGACTGAAATTGGGTGGCTATGGTTGAGGACAGAGTGGACGTGATGGTGCTGTCTGCTTTTGTTAGAGAGAAGGCATAAGATCCCAACGCAAAATGATACGACTCACCAGCGGCAGCCACAAACGAAGCAATGGTGCCAGATATAATGGCTGCGATGGTCTTCCATTCCAAAGGATGTGCTTTTGTGGGCGAGGGCTGTGGTGTTTCTCGATTCAGTAAAGGCGTTTGGGGAGAGGCGAGCAGTGGTGTCCGTGGGGACGGGGGTAAAGGCCTTTTTTGAGACATGGCTGATGTGTCGCGAAGACTGGAGAGGGAGAGAGTGAGAATGAGAGAGCCAAACGTCTTATAAGTGATCCCTGGGAGCACACAATCTGCATGGTGAGGCAACTATTTGCAAATATTGTGTTTTGCTTCTTGCTCGGGATGATCGATTTCGCCGAAGTGGCACGAACCATAATAAACCCGGACCCTGCATCCTGCATTCGATCATAACTATTGAGGCTGATCTGAAGATCATCCCTGACCCATCTCCATTGAGATCACACATTCGAGTTGACTGCCCAATCAGATGTAGTCCTTAGCATCCATCGAGGACCTGGCATTGTCAGCGTGAACCCCTTACAGAGGTTCATCTCCCGCAACTCCCTATCAGACTGGCGTTCCTATCAAACCCCTTTCCTCCTAGCATTCTCTCCGTATTCCTCATGAAAGAGAACCATGATTCGCTATCTACTAAACCTGAATAGGAAGCAGAGCTCGATCGGCAGGAACACGCCCAGTCGAGAGATCCCAGCGAGATGTGCGGCCAGGGAGCAATTCTTGTTGCCTGCACGTCACACCTGTCACCAATTCTCCCGTACTATTTCAACATGAAATACCTTCCCTGTCTTCAGCAAGGATTGGCTTTCAGGTCATCTGGCATTCATGAACGGTTGGCGAGACGGATCGAACTTGATAAAAGTCAACATTTGTGACAGAATACCCGTGGATGAAAGCTATGCTGAAAACCCAGAACATGCAGCGTCTGCAACTTACTTGGAGCTCTTGAGTTTGATCCAAACTGGCAGTATGTTCACCAAATTCAATCCAACAGCCTTCCAAGTTAATTCGAGATCCTTCTCGGTGCTCAAATCTACCTGCGCTTTTCTAATAGCTGGAACTGACTGGGAGCCCCTGATATGGACTACATGATGGTAAAGAGTCCTTTGCGGGTCATATCTTGCGTTGCAAAATCACGAGTCGCCTAATTGCCACCGTTTCCTTGATAGACATTTGTGCTCGAGCATAATCCTCATATTCTCTGCCGGTGGTCATACTCAAATACCTGCACGGCCTACCTAGGCACAGCCTTGGAACTTCCAAGTAAACCTGGAACCCTTTTCGGGGAGTGGGGCGTAGTGGGCCATGGTGGGGTGGGATTGCTGCTGTTGTATGCGGTGGGACAATCACTCAAAAGTCCACGCGATTGACACAGATAAAGACCGTCACTCTCTCTCTGGTAACCATGGTGAGCCAATGAACAGTTTCGGAAGGGGTTATTTCCGTCTCTCTCATCGCGATAAAGCTGCAAATAATTTCAAGCAGGAGCGTGTTCCCAGTCAGACTGCTGCTCCTAGATCGAGCGTTGTTTCGGTCGAAGTCTACGCTGTGCTTGTCCCCCTGTATCCAACAGCATATCTGTTTGACAAGGGGCAGGCTCTCACTCTTGGGATTGGCTTTGCGGATACTGTGGGCACCATTCCCCAATGCACCATGAGGGTGGTGATAGGCTTCCACAGAGATTTGACGGGGAGAATATAATTTTCTCCCATAGGATATTGGCCCTTCCTCGAGTGAGACGGTGAACATGGTGTTGCCCCATGTCACGCGAGGGTTTCGACTCTTTGAAGGTTAATAAAAGCCCAGCTACCACTGAAAGAAAGGTAGAAATCAGGAATTTCTATGGCCTATTAACCTCTCTTTGATATAGCGAGTCTGCCTGTTCTGCAATATTGAACTTCATGAATTCTCGTAGAAGGTCGTATAGTTTGCTTAAATAGTTGCAAGATATCAAACCCCAACAGATTGCATGATCCCCTCCACATCTAATTGATCTGCCAGATCCAATAATTCTCGCGGGGGAAGACTGACGGATGAATTGAGTCCCAGTAAATCCCACTCAAACTCGTGATCGAAGCCATAATGATCTTCATTAATTTCGTTTCCTTCATTCATATTGACTTGCGGCAAATTGTGACTTGCCAATTTCGGCGTCAAAGGTGCGAGTATATGCTCCAATTGCCTGAGTTCAAGCCTGCGAAGTGGTGCGGCTAGATTACCCTTTGCAATGAGTTTATCAAGCACTAGTGCTAGATTGTCGCACCAAGCATCGTTTGAGATCAGCGATGGGGCAATCGCACGTATCAGGTAGAGGACAAACGCGGAGGACGATGCATCTTCGATTTGGAAGGGTAAAAATGCGTCTGTAGGTTGAAATTAGCATTAATGTTTTCGACGCAGCTAGTAAATCATACCCATCAAGTCATCATCAGCTAAAGTACGAAGAGTCTGCAGGATAGTCTGGGCGGAATCGGCGCAGCATTGTAACAGGGATGCAACAGGCGGTGATAACCCGATCGTTTGAGATTTTTGTCTCTCTGTTCGTTCAATATGCATGTGAAGTGCGCACATCACTAGCGGTCTTGTTGTAAGTACGACGCACTGCTGCTGTTAGTTTATGCCGAGATCAATAGTCCGGGCGCAACCCACATGATGATGAGCCAGCATCAATCGAATCGCCATCTTCGAAGCACGGCTAATTAAGCCGTGGAAATGAGCATTTAAAAATGTAGTTAGATCGTATGAAAGTTCAGCGATGCTGTGAAGAATGGACTGTGTACTTCGAACCAGCGTGTCATCGAAATCGTTTCCAACCCCGTAGACGGCTAGGCTCCCTTAGCATATCGTCCAATACCAATCAGCCAAAAGACTCACTTGTTAGAATCGTGGCCATAAGCCGGGAAAGCCGAACATGCAATGTCAAATTGACTTGTTCAACTGAATCATCCATCTCTGCTGGCAACTTAACCGTGATGTCCTCATCCCTAATCGAGCTCGGGGCACCAATCAAAGCGGAGAATTCTCGGTCCAACATGTAAACCACCCAAAATATTGTTCTGCATCGTTTGGAGAGCTCCGGTCCACATATCTCCTCTGGTACATGTCTGTGTATTCCCTCGATGATACAGCCTCGTAAGGCATGCCCAATCTGATCATAATTAGATAATTTGGTGCCAGCTAAGAGATGGGAAAACCCACATGTTGAAAGGCCGCTCTTCTCATGTCTATTGATTGAAGATACACTGCCCCTAGGCTGAGTGCTTGGATACAAGCTAGGGGATCTTCGTCGACTCCCGACAGATCAGGCAACAGAGCCATCGCTCGCGATGCGTATTGATGACCAGGCGGTGTCCCGGAAGGATTCCTCTGTGTCAAGAACGCCTTTCCAAACGCAAGAACAAGTAAGTATTGACAATACCAAGGTCTTTTGGAAGCAGCTTTTGCTGGCGGGTCCCGGTAAAATTCATGCAGATCCTGCAAGTAAGCACGTTCATCAATCATAAAAGAAAGAAAGCCAAAATAGAACTTGACTGTGTTGAATAAGAAGAGTGCATAGTCCAAAGGTGGCAGATTAGTGACATCAGGTATTTCGTCTGGAGGATATGGTCGCCAGTTCAACTTGAAGGCCATGCCATCAATGTGAAATGGGTCTGGTGGACAATTTGATTCAGGTACTTTTCTTCCTATCAGAGCAAGAACACGACGACAAAAGGACCACGACGATGTCGGCCCCATGTACCCTTCGATGTTCGAATTAGTAATGAGTTGGCGCGAGACGATAAACTGAATACTCACAAAATCGGCCATCTGGTGTCTGAGCAAACGATGGATCCCGGTCAACCAAAGGATTCCGAGAGAATCTTGATCGGTGATTGTCTTGTTCCGCACCACTGTCCGTCTCATGCTCTCTCTGGGGGGTCCCTGGGGTATGCAGCGGCGCCCCAATCCCTAAAATCAAACGAGAATCAGCACACCAGATACACATTCAGAGTAATGGCACAGCATACCAATTGACATTGGATGCCATCCAATATTTGCTTGATTGTCTAGCAGTGTGCTAGATGCTTGAGGGGTGGGAGGAACATCAACATTCTCATCACCTGTAAACAGTCGACCTTCCAGGGGACTGTGATCAAGAGGTGCGGAGGGCCCATGTCGCCCCGAGTTTCCGCTTCTGGATATGTGTTCCTCTAGCTCTCGCAAGTACCTAGTATGCGTTAGTTAAGGACAGTGCAGCTGGTTGGAGCTACTTACCGTTCCGACACGGAGACCCGGACCTCCTCTACCGGAAAGTAGCAGTGCTTTTTCTTTCGCGCACATCTTGTGCAAGGGCTGACCCCCGAGCATTTGACCTTCATTGATCGACATCGCTCACAGCTTATTTACAATGTAAGTCTCGTAGTCTGCTTTTGAGCCAGTTGATCAAGATAACTCACGCCCTCTGGCATTTTTTGGTTCTTGCCTGGCTGGGCGTTGCAGGCATATCGGATTGGCACGCCGGGGTGGTGTATAGAACAATCGTGAAGATAGTCTGTGCTTCCGGGGCGGCTCCCCGATATCAAATGTTGCAGGGCGCGGGGTAGAAGTCGGGATTCGGTTCCGACTTTTCTTATCGGAGATAACAGCAACACCGTCTATCACGACCCATCACATGATTGGTGAGACCCTAACGGAATTGAACTTGCCTTGGTCTTTTGACTTATTGCATGAACTGTGCATACTAAGCGGAAGTTAAGAGGCTGATTGGTTATGTTTTGCATTGAGTATCTAGCCACTAAAACATCTTCGGAGCTCATCCGACGATCCTTCGCCACAACTCACGGCGCAATGCGGTCACCATGTGTCGTGTTCGTTCCACCGCCCCGCGATTCTCGATTGCTCGGCGGTGCAGATATCCCATGCACTCAGCAACTGAGCCCCAAGGCAAGCACTTGAAAGCCTTTGGCACAGTCAAGTTTGCAGCTGATGATTGTTCGAGAGCACGTTCGTAGTTCTGCACCAGTTCACAACTGAGCTCGTCGGCCATGCCTTGGATTTGGCCACACTCCAGCATTATTGTAGGTCGATTGGTGAGAAGCCTATCTTGGCGTGTGGCAATCGCTTTGGTTGCACTAGCGGCATTGTGGGTGGCGAGGAAAAGAGCGGCCTTAGGGAATGGGAGGTTCTCCTCCCCAGCAGGCATTCTT